TCTTTCTTTCTTTCTTTCTTTCTTTCTTTCTTTCTTTCTTTCTTTCTCTCTTTCTTTCTCTTTCTTTCTTTTTTTTGCAGAGCTTTGATGCTTTAAGAAGAAGGACCCCGCTTCATTTCTCCTTTTATTTTGGCATGTTTCTTAAAATGTCTGGGGGGTGGGAGAGGTCACCCCCCCACACACCTTTAATCGCCTCCGCCTGGCTTTCTCTCTCGGGGGTCCCCCCTCCCGCCCCCGCCCCCTTTTGTGGGATGCCAAACTTTTTTCTTTCTTTTTTCTTTCTTTTTTTTTTTGTGGGGGGGAAGGAGGGGGAGAAGCCGGGATTCCTAATTTATTGCACGGAGATGGAGCAGGTTCTGGGCACCTTTGCAGTTCTTAAGATCTTCTTAGGAACGAAGCGATGCAGCATCCTACCGTCCATCCAGGTTCGGGAGCTTCTTGCAAAAGCGATCTTAAGCGTCCGGGAATCACAAGCAAAGCTGGCTTTCCAATGGGGGAGAGTCTGTTTTCTAGGAACAGATGGCTGCGGGTCGTTTTTGCTCTTTTTCTTTCTTTCCTCTTAAAAAAGGAGCGCTCTGCAAACTTCCTTCTCTCCTCCTGCTCCCCTCCTCAAACTCTTTGCAGGCGTGAAACCATCCTCGCTGGAAGTGGGGGGGGGGGTGGGTGTTCAATGTTCAAAGGGTGGGGTGCTTTCCAAAGAGGAGAGGAGCAAAATCCTGAGGAAAAATCGCGAATGGGAATAAATCACAGGCTTCGGGAAGAGGTATTCCCCCTCCCCTCTTCACAGTCTCCCCAGAAGAAGGCAAAAAGCAAGAAAAGCTGTCAAGTCAGCAAGCAAAAAGTCTCAAGAGAAATCACTTCTGGATTCTGCCATGTCTAACCCTGGCAACAGCCACACAAAAAAGAAGGAATTAAACAATTCCTGGTTTTGATTTTTTTTTGGGGGGGGGGGGGTAGTTTTTCAAGAGCCCAGCGCTTGCTTGCTTGCTTTCTTTCCCAGATGGCAAGCAGTTGCCCAGAAACGGAATTAAATTAGGAATTGTTTTTTCCTCTTCCACCTCCTCCTCCTCGCTAAAAATCAAATAAATCTATCTTTTCTTTTGAAAAAAAGAAGGTTCCCAGCATACATACATGTGCAGCGTAGTTCGAATTTTCCAGTTTTAAAGAGCTTTTTCTTTCTTTTCTTTCTTTCTTTCTTGGTATCTTCTCCTCTTATAAAAAAAAAAAAGCAGAATCTGTCCCGCCGAGGTTGTTTCCTTTAAAAAACAGAGACAAACAAGATAAATAAAACGGACCCTTGAACCCCCTTCTGGAGAACTTCTATTTCAATTTTTTTTCCCCTCTCCTTTCTTCGCTCCCCAGAAAACTCCCAAGAACGCCCCTCGCTCGTTCACACAACAGGTTTCTCACTTGCGAGAAAAGCCGCCTCTCCTTCCCCTCCCCTCCCCCCCAAAATCTACTTTTCCTGCTTTCATCCCCACTTTTCTTTTTTTTTCTTTTCTTTTTTTAAACAATGCGAGAAGCTCCCCTTATATAAACCGAGAAGAAAGAACACCGAGGCGCAGCGGCACAAGCAGCATTGCAAGGGGGGGAGTAAAAAAAGAGAGAGGAGGCAGGAGGAGGAAAGCAAAGGGGTGTGTGTGGGGGTGTGTGTGCGTGCATGTGTGTGTGTGAGAGAGAGAGAATATTGGGGGGGGGGAATGCAAGGTGAGTGCGCAGGGGTGCCGATTCCCCCAGACTTCCTTTCCCTCCTCCCATCCTTTCTCCCATCCTGCCTTCCTCCCCTTCCCTCCATCCCTCCTTGCCCCCATTTAAAATCCCCATTTAAAGGGTTTCTTTTTATTAGGACCAAGACTGCAATATGCCCATCCTGGTTGGAAACGCACGCGCTGGCAACGTGATTCTGGATAAAACATGCTCCC